TTATTGCTTTAACTCTTTCTTTACTTTGTTTTTAAAATCTATAAATATGCAGAGCATAACAGTTTTGGTTATACCTATAATTTCAATTAATGTTATTAGAATGCTTTTTTAAATTTATTGTTGTGTTTTTGTCAGGGAAAATAGTAACTTCATTACGTCATGAAAAATCATGAATTTTAAAATTTTGCAGATACCATATATATATTAATATATTATATTCAATAAGGCTAGAATATTTGTAAGTAAATTATTTAAGAAAGTTAAGGTTAATTTGTTGCAGAACATTAGATATAATTTTGATTCAAGGTTTTTTTTTTATCTAACTTAAATTTTTATGTATTACTAACAATAGGATCTGATAGCAATCTATTATTAGTGATCAGAGGCTGTAAATTTAAAAAAGTAACATTTTGTAAAGTTGTATATTGACTCTTATCACAACTTTGTTTATTCATATTCAATGTTATTTTCTCCATTAAGTTATAAATTTTTATTTATTATGAATTATTATTGAAGATTAATATTTTACTGATTAGGAAAACCTAAAAAAATTTAGAGAAGAAGCAGAGAAATTAGAGAAATCTGAAGCTCTTCAAAATGCAAGGAAAAAATATGTGAGTCAATCAAGTTTTCAAATGTTATGCAAATGTTTGTTGAAATTGATTGAATGTTTATTGTTTTTATTTCTGTTTTAGAAACTAATAGAAAAAGAGACTTCTAAGAGTACTGAACAGATTAAGGAACAATTGGAAAGTCTTAAAGGTAAATTAAAAGAGGTAAGGTTGAACATACTGTGTTTTAAAGGATTAAATTTTTGAATTACTTACAGAATCGTGAAACTCTTGTAGTTATTTTTTTATAGGTATTTTGAATACAATAATCAAAAAAAAATTTTTTTTATCCATTATTGAATATCAGTAAAAATCTGTCATTGAGTAGTTAGTATTTATAGGAAATGAATTACATAGCAGAACCTCTTATCCGGAAACCGGAAAACCAGATAACCGGAATGAAATTCGGAACCGGAAATAAATTTTCTTCCATTAAAAAGAATTTTTTTCCTGCAAGATTTTGAGCCCATTTTGTTATTTAGAGCGTACGGCCTATCGAGTTGACGAAAGAACTGATTTAGAGGACGGATCAAAAGCCGTTTGTAGACGAATCTCACATAACCACACAGGGCTCGAAATTAACGGCGGTCCGTTGGTCCGTGACCACTAAAATCGGAGTTGGACCAGCATAAAATAATAAACAGTGGTCCACCGGACCACCATCCGCCGCAGCCGATCTCCGTTAAAAA